GGTTCAGGGCACGGCCAGGCCTCGCAGCATAGAGGCCGGCCTCTGCCCACCGGTACAAAGGTACCGGTCCGGCCTCACTCCGGCTATCGAACCACCGGCAGTCCATGCTGTGCGTTATGGTTAGCGCCAGAGCGCTAGCGCTATTATTAGCGCAGGAAGGCGAGGAGCAGCAGCGGCAGCATTAGCGCAACAGCGGCAGTGAGCGGAGCAGCAGCAGCGGGACTGAGCATATCGGCGGCCATAGCCGCCTGAGGTACTGGGAGCCGGGGGATCTCTCCTCCCTCCCGTCGCCAGTCCCCCCTCTCTCTCCCTCCTCCTCGACTTCCTCCTTCTTCTTCGTCTTCGTCTTCGTCTTCTTCTTCAGACTTTCTTCTTCTTCTTCAGATTGGAGACTTCATACTAGTTGGACAGAGATCAGTGTTGGACTTCGGTGGTATGAGACTGTGGTACTTACCGGATTCGAGACTTGGAGATTGTTGGGGTTGATACTCGGCGGCATCACAGTTCGGACACCGGTTACATTTGGACTCTGTATCTCCGACATTGGTGACTTATTGTCCTCGACATTTTGATCTTGTTTGATGACATTCTGGACTACCATATCGGTGACCTATCCTATCGGATTCTATCTCGGTGACCTTCGGTGCTGTCTACCTCCCCCACCTCCTTCGTCTCTCCTCCCACCCTTCATCTGTGTATGTGTGTACAGGGTCTGAGCATTCTTCCATGTATGGCTCAGACCCCACCATCTCACGATTGTATGTGTGTGGAGTGATATCTATGTGAGTCAGTCTATGTGAGTCAGTCCGTTATCAGACTTCCGCTGCATACATGCTCATCCTATATTGGTTGATCTTTGGTTCTGCCCCATACTCGTTGATCTTTGCACGAGTATGTAACACGAAGGCTGCCAATTTGCCAAATATTATTGAAATTTATTTAATAATATATCCATTCTCATCGCAGCCAGAAGCTGGGCGGCATTTCTCCTGTATGCTCAGCACACTCTGAATTTCTGAAAGTTTTTTTTAAGGAAAAGAAAAAATGATCTACTTCCACTTAGGTGACGAGAGAAAAGAAGAACCAAAAAAAAAAAAAAAAAAGAGAAGACAAGTTCATTGCAGAGAAGAAAAAGTGAAGGGGTGAAAGAAAAGATTTTCAAAACGGAAGGTTTTCCAAACACGTACCTCGTACTCCAAGTCTTCATCCACATCGTCAGGCCCAACCATATTTCGCAATACTACACATCTTGTCACCTGCCAAAAAAAAAAAAAAAGAAAAAAAAAAAAAGGGATGCAATGATTGCAATCATCATACATACAGCCCAGAGGCCTTTGTCACAGCACACCATCAAGCATGAACATGGCGACACGGAATCGCCACAGCTGCCATCACGCACACAAGCACACAAGCATGCATGCATGCATGCATGCATGCATGCATGCATATGTTATGTGCCTGAGTGAAACGAAATCCAACATGGCATATAACAGTTGCTATCGGAGCGCGTGGATGCCATGTTAGATTCCGTTTCAATCAGGCACATAACCGATGCACGCACCTATCGCTCAAGTACAGTAGTGAGCATATACTCGCTTGGTGGAAATGTTAAAGTTAGTTAAACACAACAGACTAGAACACTCAGCCGATTCGAGCGAGTTGGGACCACATTTCAGCGAATATAACTTGATAGGTCAAACTGTGAGAGAAGGTTAACGGAGACCGTAATTTTCAGACCACTTGCCATGCCATTTATATGAAAACCAAAGGGTCATTTTAATCAAACTTGCCACCAATTCGTAGAGTGGAGACCATACTAACTAACTGCAAAACAAAATCCAAAAAAAATAATAAAAAACCATATAAAACAGCAAGGCAAAAGTGTATTTTCATGAAATTTCGCCAACATCTCAATTTCAGAAATCTTGAGAAATTTCAGACATCTTAACAGAGGAAATTCCAATTCTCCAAATGACACAAAATTTGGCACACACCAACCTTCAACCAAAACAAGAACAGGCAAAAAAAAACAAAACAAAAAAAAAAAAACATAAAATTTGACCCCAAAACCCTAATTTCAGTTTTCGAGGACTCGTTACCCAGGGCCTGAAAATGGGGGTCCCCGTTAACCATTTGTGGAGCAAATTGTCAGATTGTGAATTTGAAAACACAGGTTGGTTCAACTCCCGTTATTCGCCGCCACTCGCATCTGAACTCTGGCGAGCCAAAATCAAGCCAAATCTGGGGTCAAGACTCAAGACAGTTAATCATTGACTGAAGCCAATGAATTAAATTAACTGATTCAAACAACCATAGATTCATTGACTTCAGTCAATGAATAACTTAGGGAGAGAACAATTAAAGCATCACATTCTTGTTCTTTCGGGATGTGAGGAGGAGGACGGAGGAAGCGGAGGAGTATACGGACCGGAGAGAGGGCGAGAGGCGGGTGAAGTGGTGAAAGGGTTACAGGGTTGTTGGCCGCGGATACAGGACGGACGGCACAGAGGATGGAGGGGCCACAGACTCAGGATGACTAAACCATCACATTCTTGTGCTTTCAGAAATTCAG